GGCTTGGGACTTATATCCACGAAGTTTGGATTTTAATTCCTGTGTCTCCATATGTATTTTATGATTTTCCTTATTTAAATATGAGATGAAATTTTGTTATTACTTACTGAGATTTATGTCCCACATGTATATGTTCAATATTTTATAGGTAACTAAAAAGGCTAGTTTGAGGCGATCGGAGGAGGATTGTGCTTGCATGGTTAAAGAATATTTTAAGTAATTAAAGATTTTAATGATGTTTATTGTATTTTTTAAAATTAATTTTAAATCCTCGCATGTTCGGAGAATATTATGTTTTTCATTGTTTACGAAATTTTGTTTTATAGTACATGTATAATGATTTCAAAGTTAAAAATTTGGATCGTAAAAACATGATATCATAGCGGTACAAATTTCTCTTTATTCATAGAGAAACTTCCCAAAGTTTTGGATGGTGTAGATTTATGAATGTTTAAACTTAAAAAAAAATTGCAGTTATGAAATTGACAATTTTATGATAATATGTAACTTTAGAATAATAAGTACATTAAGGATTATATTAGAATAGTTGATCTTAGAAAGTCTCTTGTGATGAGGGCACATCCAATAAATGGATTGCAGATCCTATTCATGTTCCAATTAGTCCAGTTACAAGAGCTCGAGCTAAACGGTTCAAGGAAACTCTCAATGGGTAGATTCAAAACATTTGGACTGAGGTGGATTCTTGGAAGCCCAAGGAAGATCCTCCACGTGTTCCACAAGAATGGATTTCCATGATTCAAGCAATCAAGCAATAAAATATTTCAAGGAGAAAGGTTCCTAAAATGGTGACTTACACAATTTTGGTTGGCTGCCATTTAGAAAAAGCCATCTTCTTAATATGGCTAAATTATCTTTCTTGTTTCTTGTTAATTATTTTGCTGAATTGTAAGGTTTGAGTGCCAATCAATCACAATTTTGTGAGAGTAAATTCTCTTTGGTTCTTTTTGAACATCCAAACTTATCGAAGTTTTCTGTGGCATTTACCTATCAACTTGTCAATTAATCCCTCCAAAATTGATTGTGGCATTCCCATTATACCAAGGTTCTTGCTTCAATATATGCAATGGGTTGCGGTGTCATCCGTATCTGTTCCTAAACCTATTCGCTTTCATTATACTAAGGTTCTTGCTTCAATATATGCAATGGGTTGCAGTGTCATCCATATCTGTTCCTAAACCTATTTGCTTTCATTATACCAAGGTTTTTGCTTCAATATAAGCAACAGGTCGTGGTGTCATCCATATTTGTTCCTAAATGATTTTGGAGCCTTTCTTGATCGACCTTGCTCTCTCTCAACTTCTTGGCACGGAACATATCATTTAGTTAGAGCATGGTTCCAATTACAAGTTTGTACCCAAAAAAAAAATCGAGAAAGAAAAGAAAAAAAGGGAGTATCTAATTCCTGTTTCAAAATTTTTTTCATCTTTGTTTATTGTTTCTTCTATATTGTTTCCACAAATCCGTATGTCAAAATCTAAAATCCTGTAATCCTCAACACAGCCTTGTTCTCTTGCCGTTAAAATCCGAATTTCTCTTTGTGAGTTCTTGATGAATCATTATTGGAAACTGTGAAATGTGTTCGGTAAGTTTGATCAGAACTATAGAGGTTTACTAAGAGTGGAAAAAAGGCAAGAGAAGTGAGCACATAAGAGGGTAAAAGCAAATCTGATTTCGTTTTGTGTGAAAACATGAGATGAATTGAGTGAATCATTCTTTGAGTGAAAAAAACATAAGGAAGCTTGTGAGGTCATTTTTTTCTAACTTTGTTTGCAGCAAACATGTTAGACAACAAGAACATAAATACTTCTAGGGATGCATCAGGAAAGGTTGATCTGAAGTTTCTCATGGTAGCTTTGATGTGTGAGATGAGGAGACTCTTGAGATTAGAGATGGAGCAGGTTCATGAATGGATAGATCAGATAGAGAATGCACGAGTGTGGCAGCCACAAAATGCTCCTAATGTGCAAAGAAGAGGGAGAATTCAACCTAGAGTGGGACAGTTTTGGTGAGGAAGATAGTTAGGATTCGGTTTTTAGCAATAGGAGATATGGAGGTCGGGATAGAGAGGCTAGAAATTGGGAAGATAATAACTTGGGTAGTATTAAGATGAAGATTCCATCATTTTAAGGCAAAACCAATCATGAAGCTCGTCTTCAGTAGAAAATAAGATGGAATTTGTGTATGTGAAGAAAGAGGAGAAACAATCCATGGTCAACCCCAGAACCTTGCAAAAGCAAGGAATAACCAGCCATGGAAATGAAGGTAAACCCGATTCTTCAACCACTCAAAATCGTGATAATAAGTGTTTTAAATGCCAAGGCAGGGGTCACATAGAGAGTCAATGTCTGAACAAAAGAGTTATGGTATTACGAAATGATGATGAAGTTGAGACCGAGGGTGAAGAAGACACCGAATCTATGCTGCCATTGGAGGATGTGGATAATGAAGAATACGCTGCCCAAGTAGAATTATTGGTTGCGAGGAGAGCTTTAAGTGTGCAGGTCAAGGAATATGATGAAGTGCACTGAGAAAGCATCTTTCGTACTAGATGCCATGTGTAAAATAAGGTATGTAGCGTGATTTTTGATGGAGGAAGTTGTACTAACGTTGCTAGCACTACCATAAATTAGGGCTGCTTACGATTAAACATTCTCGGCCTTACAAGTTGTAATGGCTCAATGATAGTGGGACGTGAGGGTGAACAAACAGTTGTTAGTTTCCTTCCGCATTGGAACATATGAAGATGAAGTTTTGTGTGATGTAGTTCCGATGCAAGCTGGACAATTGTTACTAGGCTGGCCATGGCAATTTGATCGGTGTATTAAGCATGATGGCTTCTCCAACAAATACTCGTTTGTGTTTGATCAAAGGACTATAACCCTAGTTTCGTTGACACCAAAGCAAATTTAGGAAGATCAAGTGAGGTTACAAAAAGAGGTCAAAGGAAAGAGAGTGAGAAAAAGAAAACAAGTGAAAACCAAAAGAAAGAAACACGAGAGGTCGAGAAAATTCAAAAAGAAGACAAGAGAGCAGATTTGGCCATTAAGAGAAAAACAACTTTCTATGCAAAAGCAACTGAAATAGAAAGAGCGATGTTTTCAAATCAGCCAATGATGGTACTTTTGTACAAAGAGGCATTGATCACTAACAAGCTCGATACATCTTTGCCTAGGTCCATGGTTTCTCTTTTGTAGGAGCTTGATGATGTCTTCGAGCAGATTCCACATGGTTTACCCCCTATTTGGGGGATTGAACATCAAATTGATTTTGTGCCCAGTGATTCTATTCCGAACCAGCTAGCTCATCAAAGAAATCCAGAAGAGACAATGGAACTACAAGGGTAGGTTAGTGAATTGATGGAGAAGGGATATGTGAGAGAAAGCATGAGTCCGTGTGCCATTCCAGTGACTTTGGTTCCTAAGAAGGATGGGATGTGGAGAGAAAGTGCATTGAGCAGTCAACAATATAACAGTAAAATATATCCTATTCCTCACTTAGATGAGATGTTAGATGAGTTGCATGGTGCTTATGTATTTTCTGAGATTGATTTAAAGAGAGGATACCATCAAATAAGGATGAAAGAGGGTGATGAGGAGAAAACTGCTTTTAAAATGAAACATGGTTTGTATGAGTGGTTAGTTATGCCGTTTGGGTTAACTAATGCACCAAGGACCTTCATGCGATTAATGAACCATGTTTTACGTGCTTTCATAGGCATCTCTATTTTGATGAAATACTCATTTATAGCAAAAACTTGGATGATCATATTGTGCATTTAAAGTCAGTTTTGGATATACTTTGGAAAAGAGAAGTTATTTGCTAATTTGAAGAAGTGCACCATTTTCATTGATAAGCTTGTGTTTCTTGGTTTTGTTGTGAACGCACAAGGAATACATGTTGATGAAGAAAAGATTCATGCAATTCAGGAATGCCCAAGCCCCACGAGTGTAAGTCATGTTTGTAGTTTTCATGGACTCGCTAGATTTTATAGGCAGTTCTTGAAAGACATTAGTAGCATCACTGCACCAGTTACTGAAGTAATAAAGAAGAATGTTGGTTTCAAATGGGGAGACAAGCAAGAAAAGGCATTCCAATTAATCAAGGAAAAATTAACTCATGCTCCTTTACTTGCTTTTCTTAGATTTTAATAACACTCGAAAATAAATGTGATGCTTCAAGTATGGGTATAGGTGCAGTTCTTAAGTAAGGAGACCAATTGCATATTTCAATGAGAAGTTAAGCGGGGCAGCCTTAAACTACCCTACTTACGACAAGGAATTGTACGCATTGGTTCGAGCATTGGAAACATGGCAACACTACCATTGGCCTAAGGAGTTTGTGATTCACCTGATACATGTATGATGGGTGGAATTCATTGAGACATTTTCATATGTCATCCAGTACAAGCAAGGTAAGGAAAATGTCATAGCAGATGCACTTTCTCGAAAGTACGTATTAATCTCTACTCGTGATGCAAAATTACTTGGTTTTGAGAGCATTAAAGTGTTTTACCCTTTGGACCACGATTTTTGTGAAGAGTTTCGAACTTGTGAGAAAAATGCAATAGGTAAGTTCTTTAGGCACGGGGGCTTCTTGTTTCGAGAGAACAAGTTGTGTGCCGAATTGCTCTTTGTGAGTGTTGTTAGTCAGGGAATCCCATGGTGGAGGTTTAATGGGACATTTCGGAGTTGCTAAGACCTTAGCCATTTTGCATGAAAATTTCTATTGTCCACACATGAAAAGGGACCTTGAGAGAATTTGTGGTAGATGTGTCACATGTAGGCAAGCGAAGTCCTGAGTGCAACCCCATGGTTTATACGCTCCATTGCCCATTCCTAGTGAACCTTGGATCGATATTTCAATGGATTTTTTGTTAGGTTTACCTAGATCTAAATGTGGCTGAGATTCAATTTTTGTGGTTGTGGATAGATTTTCTAAGATGGCACATTTTATTCCATGTCACAAAATCAACAATGCTTCCCACGTTGATGATTTGTTATTTAGAGAAATTGTAAGGTTACATGGTATGCCTAGGACAATAGTTTTGGATAGAGATGCTAAGTTCTTGAGTTACTTTTGGAAGACTTTGTGGTGTAAGTTACGAATTAAACTATTATTTTCTACTACTTGTCACCCACAAATTGATGGTCAAACTGAAGTAGTGAGTAGGACTTTGTCTACTTTGTTGAGGGCTATTATTAAAAAGAACATCAAAACTTGGGTAGGTTGTCTACCACACGTTGAGTTTGTTTATCGTATTGTTCATTATGCTACTAACTTTTCACCATTTGAAATTGTTCATGGTTTTTTGTTAGGCAGATGCATGAGAAGGCAAGACTCAACATTGAGAGGAAGACGGAGCAGTATGCAAAACAAGCTAACAAAGGGCGACGAAAGCTGATTTTTGAACCAAGCGATTGGGTTTGGTTGCACATGAGAAAAGCGAGATATTTGACACAAAGGCGTTCTAAGTTGCTTCCCAAGGGAGATGGACATTTTCAAGTCCTTGAGCATACCAATGAAAATGCATACAAGTTGGATTTGCTAGGTGAGTACAATGTTATTGCCACTTTCAATGTTACTTATTTAAGTCCTTTTGATGTAGGTGATGATTTGAGGACAAATCATTTTAAAGAGGGGAATGATGAAGGCTTGTCTAATAAAGGAATGCAGATCCTATTCAAGTTCCAACTGGTTCAGTTACAAGAGCTCGAGCTAAAAGGTTCAAGGAAACTCACAATGGGCTGATTTAAAACATTTGGACTGAGGTGGATTCTTGGAAGCGCAAGAAAGATGCTCCACGTCTTCCACAAGAATGGATTTCCATGATTCAAGCCTTTAAATGATCAAGCAATAAAATATTTGAAGGAGACAACTCAAGATTGTGTGTATGGAAAAAGTTTCCTAAAATGGTGACTTGCATGATTTTGGTTGGTTGCCATTTAGAAAAGCAATCTTCTTAATATGGCTATATTATCTTTCTTGTTTCTTGTTAATTATTTTGCTGAATTGTAATCTACCTTCCTTATTTGAAGGTGGAATAAGCATGATTTAAGGAGTTCCATTATGGATCCATTTGCAAAATCTATGGCAACGAATTTGTGATTTTCTAGTTGTCAAATTCGTGGACCTCCTTGCATTTAAATAGCTATTAGCTTGATGAATAAACCTATTCATTTTCATTATACCAAGGTTCTTGCTTCAATATAAGCAACGGGTCACGGTGTCATCCAAATTTGTTCCTAGACGATCTTGGAGCCTTTCTTGATCCACCTTGCTCTCTCTCAACTTCTTGTCGTGGATCATATCATCTTGATCAAATAATAGTCTAATTAGGAAATAATACCTCAAAATATCTTCATTTTCTACTTATTGTTTGAGTTCACTTGGTCTGTGCATTCGCAAAACAAAAGGGCTTTATCAAAACCTAAGTTGTCTAAGCAGAGCTTAGGGTTTAAGTAGTCCTCATGACCCCCGTTTTCACCTAGAACCCACTAAGACGAGCATTATTTAAGCCAATAAAATGAAAATAATATTGCATACTCACTCTAAATTTAATAAGATTTCCAAACTTCATTCTTCAAAAACTTTTAAGAATTTTTGATTTGTGAAACCTTTATGTTAAAAATCCCTATCTTATGAAAGTTTCATTTCTAGGAACCCTAATAAAAAAAAAAAAATTGTTTCCAGGTTTCCATCACTATCCAACTGTTTTTCCAATCTCTAAGTCACACCCTTAACCATATCCATTAATTTCCAAATTTTACCACAATTATATAACATGTACGTAAAGGTAATCATGCCCTAAAGTCGCCACAAGTGAAGGGTCTGCAGCTTAAAATTAAGTCCTTTTTATGGCACATTGAATCAAGTAGCTTAATGTGACAGTCTAGGTTTCATTACTTATCATACCACAAATCAGTTTCTAAACTATTAAAAATTATTTCCACACCTATGATCCTCATATGAGAACATTCAAAGTGATACATATACATTCCTTTCAAGGTATAACATATGATTCAAAGTTGGGTTACTAAAATCCAGCAACCATTAATTTTCTGTCCATATTGAGTTAGCTCAAGTTTTGACCAATTACCCTATTTTGTAATCATTAAATTATCAACACACCCCAACATGATCTTATTCAAGTCCAGAGGTTCAAGACGTAAAATCCTCAAAAATAGTGAAGACAAATCTCAAAACAGTGAACTAACTCAGCTGCCTCGAGCTTCCAGTTCTAGGATTGGTTTTTATTTTCTCTTTGGATCTTTTGCTTTCTTTTTCACTTGGAATCAATTGGGGATGAGTTGAAGGAGTTAATATCTTATATAGGAGATAGATCAAAGTCTTTAAGGAGCTTGAGTCATGCATAATGCTTAGGAATGAAGAAATTGAATATAAAAGGACAAGTAGCATCAAGCATGTGGTATTTTTGTAGTAAAAAAAAGAAGAAAAAACTGATTTTACACCTGTCATTGCAGTAGAAAATCAAGTGTATTTGACCTATCGTAGTGTGTCTATGACCTAATTTAATTACTAAAGGATCCCAAAATAATTTATAAAGTTAATTCCTTAACCGTTCATTAGATCCTTTACTCGGTTTGTACCCGATTCTCCAATGACTTCAACAATTTGCACCACAATATATTTAAATATCACATGAACCTGATATTATTGTATTGTGATCATTTCACTTAGTACCCGTTTGACCCCCATTACCTAAAAATGATAATGGAGGGAATAGTATTTTTTAGAAAAATGAGTGGTTGAAAAACAAGGAAAAGTTTTCGATTTATGTGTAATATTATTTTATGGAAGATTGTGCGGTTGAAAATAGGAGAGAGAAAAATGGAATGTAATGTAATTGAATTTAATGAGGATCAAACGAGGGCTTAATGCTCATGTCCCAATTATTCAAAGACTTAGTTAGGGTTTAGGGTAACCATGATTAACCGAATTAATAGCAAGTAGCTTTACCGATAATGATTTCGACACTTTCAAGATCACAATCATTTACCACATCAATATCCAACATCTAGATTAACCAAAATTTCTATCATAGCTATTGATAAGATTCACTACCTAGGTCGGGAGGTCAAAGACTAACACTATATAGAAATCTTTAAACTTCAATTACCTAATGCACTGTTATAAGAGAAAACCATTTCAAACTATTGATGCAAATGCAATGGCAATGTTAGCAAGTATTACATCCTTCCCTTATAAAAATTTTGTCGAAATTTACTAACCAAAAAAGTCAGGATATTTAACCCACATTTCATCTTCCCTTCCTAAGTGCACTCTTCTACTGACTTATTCTGCTACAATACCTTAACCAATGGAATTTTCTTGCTTCTGAGTTGCTTTACCTCTCACTGAAGATCTCTCTGTTAGAAAAAATAGATAGTGGCACACCACGCAGTCTAACTATTTCTTGTATACAAAGCTGTGCATATCGGTTCATGGGATAAATGGAACAAACTAGGATGAAATGAGCATATTTGGTCAACCTATCTACAATAACCCAAATAATATCACATTCTTTAGTTGTTTCTGGTAACTTCATCGCAAAGTCCATTGTACTTATTTCCGACTTCCATTCTAGGATACATAATGGTAGTAAGTTTCTTGTTGGCCTTTGACATTCTACCTTTATTTGTCGACATGTAAACAACAGTGTAGAGTTATTTCTTAGTCAACAATTTCTACTGCAATTCTAATCCTTGAATATTCGTAGATTAGTTATTTTTTCATGGCACATAGCTCCCGTTTGGCCCCCATTTTATGGTAATGAAAATGGGTGGAATAGTATTTTTTTTTTTAAAAAAAATGAGTGGTTGAAAAAGAAGGAAAGTTTTCGGTTTACGCATAACATTATTTTATGGAATATTGTGTAGTTGAAAATAGAACAGAGAAATGGGGGAATAATTACAAAAAAATCTGAAATGATCTAAGGAAGGCCACAATCATAAAAGTTCAGGTCCAACTTGAAGAGGAATCAATGACAAGATCACGAGCAAATAGGATCAATGAAGCAATCCATTTACTTGTTCTAGCTATGAAGGCCAAGAGTTGAAGTTAACAAGCCAAAAACGAAGTTTCATGTTGGGCATGAAGACTTTTAAGTTGGATGTATTCCATAAGATAAAAATAAAATAAAATAAAA